GGGCCTATCGAGTAAAACCTCCGTCGCACGAAGAACCTCTAAGCCGGTGGCTCATGGCCCTGGTCTGGGATTGCTTGATTGCTTCGGTGCTACTTTGAGGGTTTAAGGCTCAGGCTTTGGGAACTGCGTTGAGGTCCCTTCCCCCGCCAAACTCTGAAGTTTAGGCTTTACGGTAGAAGGGCTGAGGGCCACCCCGTCCAAGAATCCTGCTCGGCTATGCTTTCATGGCCACATGACGCATATCACCTAGACCCCAAACCATGGGGACCAAATATCCCCTAACATTGGGGTCATATACCCTACACTACCAGCTCCTATTAAGGTATATGAATTGGGATGTTCCCCCTTATACTAGCAGTCCTTAATTGGGATCATAATACCCCCTATCGTAATCCCTACTCAGGACCCCTGAACCACAAACCCTTGTAGGATTCATGTGGCCCCCAAGGAACCCTAGAACCCGAGAGCCGAAACGAGGAAACCATCAACCCATGAGCCCCAAACCCTAAGCGTGGGTTTAGGGTTTAGGGTTTAGGGTTTAGGGTTTAGGGTTTAGGGTTTAGGGTTTAGGGTTTAGGGTTTAGGGTTTAGGGTTTAGGGCTTAGGGTTCAGGGTTTAGCGTTTAGGGTTGAGGGCATATAGCGTCCACAGCCAAGGTGGCTCGTGGAAGCTGGAGCACACCAAAATGAGCACTTCGCGAGAAATGAATTCCTGATATACCTTTCAGCCATCACTAAATTCTCTATCATAAACGAAGTTACAACCCTGAGTCCTAAAACCAAACCACAGCCTAGCTAACCCTAGATGAAAACCCTCATAAAAACCCCGCCACCCTAACTAAGCCCTACTTGAAAACCCTAAACCCAAATGAAGACCCGAAGCCTCCAACCAACCAAACCCCTCCAAACGGGAAAATGTCATGGTTTAGGGCCTAGGGTTCAGGGTGTAGGGTGTAGGGTTTAGGGTCTAGGGTCTAGGGTCTAGGGTCTAGGGTCTAGGGTTTAGGGTTTAGGGTTTAGGGTTTAGGGTTTAGGGTTTAGGGTTTAGGGTTTAGGGTTTAGGGTTTAGGGTTTAGGGTTTAGGGTTTAGGGTTTAGGGTTTAGGGTCATCCCCAGGCCCGCCTCACCGTCCTCCTCTTGTTGCTCCAGTTCGTCGGCAAGTTGCTGGTTCCATGCCTGCGGAGTGTAGGGGGTATGAGGAGGGTAGTTTAAGGGGCTTAGGGTTTAGGGTTTAGGGTTAGGGTTTAGGGTTTAGGGTTTAGGGTTTAGGGTTTAGGGGGTATAAGGAGGGACCCCTAGAAAGGGAACCTTAGTCTTATTCCCCGACTATAACCCCTCTACGTACCTTATCGAGTCCTTATATACTTCAGTAGCCCTGAAATGACCCCGAAATAGCTCCTAAGGTCCCTCATAAGGGTCCCTCCTCGAGTTCTTTGGGACATGTAGGAGGGGTAGGGAAACCCACCGGGAGGGGTCTTGAAGGTGAAGCTGACTGGTCCCTTACCGGGAAACATGTGTGTATACATATACATATACATATACATATACATCTACATCTACATCTGCATATATATATGTGTGTATATATATATATATTTGTATTCATTTATGTATTATGTCTATGTATGTATGTATGTATGTGTGTATGTATGTATGTATGTATGTATGTATGTATGTATGTATGTATGTATGTATGTATGTATGTATGTATGTGTGTGTGTTTGTATATGTACATGTGTGTGTGTGTGTTATGCAATGTTGTGCTGTTCTTGGCTATGGTATGCTCCATGATGCTTGGTTTACGATATATGATTATTGACACATGGTATGTATATGTATGTATGTATAGGTATGTATGTATGTATTTGTATATGTATATGTACATAAGTGGATGTCTGCATGCATATACGTTCTGGACTTATGCAACTAGAAATTATATGCATAGACAGAGGTGTCGGCCGATTTGGGATTTAGACTTTAGAATCCCCTAAACCCTAAACCCTGAACCCTAAACCCTAAACCCTAAACCCTAAACCCTAAACCCTAAACCCTGAACCGTAGTCCGAGCGACCTCGTTCACCTTCTCGTGATATTGCGAGCTGCCTGCCAGAGAATGACAAGCAGGCGGTTTGGGGGTTTAGGGTTGCTAAGGCTTCGGCTTAGGGTTTGGGAGAGTTTTGGGCTTGGGGCTTGGGGTTTTTGGGTGGCGCGTTCGGGGTTCGATGTTCGACTTCGGGTTTGGGGTCCAGGGTCTTGGCCCTTAAGGTTGCGTGCTGAAACCTGCCTCCTATATAAATGGAGTCAGGCAGCTCGGCTGTCAATGGTTTACAGGGGCTTATAGGGTTTATAGGGTTTAGAGGGTTTATAGAGGGTTTACAGGGTATGTAGGGTTTTTAGGGTTTAGAGGGTTTATAGGCTTTGTAGGGTTTTGGGTCCGTCTCACAAGCTCCACTCCCTGCCCCGAAAGTGTAAACCAAGGCATCAAAAGGGCCCCTAAGCCCATGCTTCCGCTGATGGCTTGTTGGGCTTTGGAGCTTAAGGTTCTGGAAGGGATTCTAAGGGCTTGAGGCTTCTGCTTCTTCTTCCGAACCGCTCGGCTAAGACTCGTCCATTAGGAGTTTAGTGTTCAGAGGATCAGGTTGTTGGGCTTGGGGTTCCTGCCAGCCCTAAACCCTAAACCCTAAACCCTAGACCCCCCCTGTTCAAAAACACCCAGAGTTCCAGCATGAGACGTTTTAAGCCCAGAGCGTCACAGACAGGGCCATAACACTCCACTTCTTGGGATGCCCCCCCTTTCTACTCACAGTCCTTAATCGGGACTATAACAGGGGGCACTAGAATCCCTATTAATAGGACTGTCAGTATAAGGGGGAAACCCTAAACCCTAAACCCTAAACCCTAGACCCTACTCCCTAAACCCTACTTCTCGCATGGGCGAAGACCATCTCGTCATCGAGGACAACTGTCACGCCATGGTCCAGGTCATGCTTCTTGAGCGTGCTGTTTAGGGTTTAGGGTTTTAGGGTTTAGGGTTTAGGGTTTAGGGTTTAGGGTTTAGGGTTTAGGGTTTTGGGCTTTGGGTTTTGGGTTTAGGGTTTAGGGGCTGCTTGAGGCGCCACTTTCGAAGAAGATTGCGCTGCTCGCCCTCGCCGTGCGGGAGGGCTGGAAGCGAAAGAAACGCGTCGAGAAAAGCAGATGGTGCCAACCGCTCAGGCATTGAACCTCGGACAGGACTTCCACCACGCCTATGGTTGGTCAGTAAGAGTATGCAACAGGGGGATGTAGGGTCCCCTAGATAATCCCTTAAAGGGTATACCCTCTGTAACCCCTTTAAGGGTATACCCTATGTAATCCCACGTTGCGTCGCGGGTGACCCGGCACACGGAGCGAAGCACTGAAGTGTTTTTTCTTTCCGTGCTGAGAACAAATCGGGCTTCAATTCTTGGGCATCTCCCCGCCGATTTGAACTACAAATCCCAGCAACCCTAAACCCTTAGCTCTAAAATCTAAAACCCCTTAGCTCTAAAGGCAAAAAATTAATTTAAAAAAAAAAAAAAAAAAAAAAAAAAACATCTCCCTGCCCCAAGCCCCCTAGAAACCCGGAAGCTTAGTAGAACAAGGCTTTGGGCGTTTCAGGTCTATAAGGCCTAGGGACCTTAAACCTAAACCCTAAATTCCTAAACCATAAACCCACCCCTAATCCCGAAACCTCCAACCACTAATCCCCGATACCGAATCCTTAACACCCTAAATTACCTGAACCCAAAACCCAAAACCCGAATCCTGAAAACCCCAAGCCCTATACCCCAAACCCTCAAACCCCCAAAGCCCTAACCCCAAGCCCCCAAATCCTCACCCACCAAACCCTACCTCACCAACGGACCCCTCAATCCCTAAACCCTAGAATCCCTAAGCCCTGAACCCCCAAAGCCCTGAAAGCCCTGAAGCAATTTGAGCCCTGAAACAACCTTACCCCCCAAAAACCCTAAACCCGTAAACCCCAAGCCCTACGCCCCTAAACCAAAAACAAAACCTACATCCTAAAACCCCGCAAAGCCCTAAGCCCTGAGCCCTGAACCCTGAACCCTGAACCCTAAACCCCAATCCCTAAACCCCAATCCCTAAACCCCAATCCCTAAATCCCCTCAATCCCCAAAGGGCCCTCTGCCGGACACCTCGATGGTAGTACGTAAGGTGGCCGAGCAAATCAGCGAGTGAAGGGAGCCCTCGGAATCTTGTTTTTGTTTGGGTTCCCCCTGGTGTTTGAAAGGTTTAGGGTTCAGGGTTCAGGGTTTAGGGTTTAGCGTTTAGGGTTTAAGGTTTAGGGTTTCGGGTTTTAGGGGGGCTAGGGTTTTTGGGGCTTAAGGGCTGATAGGTTTAGGGGTTAGGGCTCAGGGGCGTCCAGAATGCTAGATGAGTCATACTCAGGATCCTACTATGACTTGAGGAAGATACAACTAGAATTTCTGGGAAATCTTAGGGTAGATACATGGTGCCTGAGTATGGGCCCTCAAAAGGGGTACCCCTTCTATACCCCTTCTCTACCCTATACAAATTAAGGGCCCGTACATCAGAACCCATTAAAGGAGGTAAGCGAGCGTATTAAGGGCCCGTGAAACTACCCTTTAGAGAACCCTAAACCAAGCTCCTTAATCTTATTCCCCTATTTATACCGTATATATACCTTATGCAGTCCCGAAATACCTAAATTAAATAGCCCCGAAATACCCCCCAAAAAACGCCTAAGGTCCCTCATCATGGTCCCTCCTTTAGTCCCTTGATTCTGGGAACCCAAGGTACTGTAGGAGCCTCAATAGTTAGAGCAAGGTTTTCGGGGTTATTATAGTATAAATCTAAAGGCACCGTAAGGGGAACATTATTAGTCATTCTTCCGACCCCTATGTTACCCTTAGAGAACCCTAGACATCCAAACCCTAAACCAAGCTCCTCGCCCCAAAATTTCTTGACTTAGGCGTCGAAGACTTGAGGATTGGGGGGTTCGGGGGTTTGGGGGTTCGGGGGTTTGGGGGTTTGGGGGTTTGGGTGTTTGGGGGTTAAGGGTGTAGGGTTTAGGGCTTAGGGTTTAGGGTTTAGGGTTTAGATTTTAGGGTTTAGGGTTTAGGGTTTAGGGTTTAGGGTTTAGGGTTTGGGGGTTAAGGGTTTAGGGTTTGGGGTTTGGGGTTTGGGGTTGAGGGTCGTGTGCTTCCTCGGATGCTGGCCCAGACACCCCAGTCCTTTGCCAGCACGTTGCCGCATCCCTTTGGGCAGTCGGGCGCAGTGCAGCGAAAAAGCCTCGGGAACGCAGGGAGCCCCAATCTTTGTATTTTGGGGTTAGGGTTTAGGGTTTAGCCTGGAACGGCAACATAGGGAGGCATAAGTTAATAAGGTACCTAGCTCCCTCGTTCCCCACTATTATCGGGCAGGCAAACGGGACCCTTATATGGGGCTCCCTTGTATGCCCCTAGCAAGGGAGGGACCATTCAGGTACCGTATTCCAACCCTCCCATACTAGGAACATAAAACCCTGGACCCTAACCCTTAACCCGAAACAGTAAACCGTAAACCCTAAAACCATAAAACCCGAAAAGCCGAAAACCCGAAACTCCTAAACCCCTAAAACCCTAAAACCCTAAAACCCTAAAACCCTAAAACCCTAAAACCTTACACCCTAAACCCATAAAACCCTAAACACCCTAACCCCTAAAACCCTAAAACCTTAAACCTTAAAGGCCTAAAACCCCAAAAGCCCTAAATCCTGAAACTCTAAAACCCTCAAGACGACATTGGGCTCCTTGCTGCTCGGCGACCGTACATCTTGGGCCCAGCAAGATCCTTCTGAAAGCCTTGAAACCCAAACTCTATATCCCAGACCCTTAAGCCCTAAACCTCCCTTTTACAAAACGGAAAAATTGGGGTTTGGGGTTTAAGGATTGAGGATTATAGGGTTTATAGGGTGCATAGTAGTGGGTTTCTCTAGGGCTTGTATGGCTTTTTGGGTTGAACCCCCAAAGGCCCTAACCTGACTAAGCCACATCCTGCTTTCGCAGCTGCGCTTTCGCGCAGGTGGCAAGCCAGGGCGCGTCAGGCGCAGCTTCCCTTTCAGCGCCTTCCGCGCGAGCGTCCGGAGCTTTGTCCTCGAGTGTCGGGGCGCGTGGGGTTTAGGGAACTGAGGAAACAGGTCCCTAGCCCTAACACCCTCTAAGCCCTCAACTCTCGAGCCTACCCCCAAACTTTAGGGTTTAAGGGTTGAGGCCTTGACAAAAACCTTTGGCAACTAAATGCTACAAACCACCTAAACTGAGGGTTCGCCCCCGGAAGGGTGGGCAGGAGCTTGACCGGAGCCCACTTGGAGAGGTTTTCCTCACATGCCATGGGGGTCCTTGCGCGGCTGTCAGCTCGACTCGGTTCTCCGCCGTAAGTCCTAAAGGCCTTACGCGCACATGCGCCCTCAAACCTCAACAGCCTTCAAAACGACAATGGAAAAACCTCGAAGCGTAAAGCGTGCTAGAACCCAACAAAACGCAAACCCTCAAACCCTCCAGTGAACTCTGCCAAGACCCGTGTGAACCATTAACGCTAACTCATTATATACCTAATCATATACCAAAACCGTAACCCGCAACCCCAAGCCCTAAACCCTGAACCCCAAAGCCTAACCCTCAACCCCTACAACCCTTACCCCTCAACCAAAAAAATACTCATGCATTGGCAAGAAACTCGAGTTCCGAGGCCAAGCCCCACCGGCACGAGACCTCGCGACATTTTGAACTTGGGTCTAGGGTTTAGGGTTTCGGGTTTCGGGTTTCGGGTTTGAGGCCTTAGGGTTTAGGGTCTAGGGTTTAGGGTTTAGGGTTTCAGGTTTAGGGTGTAAGGCCTAGGGTTTATTGAAACTATTCAAGGCTCAGGTTCGGGAGGAGCTAGGAGCTTGCTTTCCGGCGTCATTTCTAGGTACGGGGGCTTGAGGGTTTAGGGTTCAGGGTCCTCATATGCCTGACATAAACCCCTAAACCGTCGCCATCCGCCCGCACCCAGCAGCACGCCAATGAAATCAAGAAGGGCCCAAAACACCAAAAACAACAGCAAGAGAAATCGGGCTTGGGGCTTCGGGCTTCGGGTTGGGGGGTTAAACCCTAAAACCTTAAAACCCTAAACCCCAAAAGCTTAAGCCTAAACCTTTTCTGAAACCCTAAGCCCTAAACCCTTAAGCGCAAATCCCCAACGCCCCCTACAGGCACAGGAAGTCGATTTTCCCCTGACGTGGGCCCATACTAGGGCCCCCCCCCCCCCACCTTAGAAAGATCTGGGTTTCAGGAATTGCGCGCTTTGGCGTTTGAGGGTTTTCGGGCTTGGCGTTTTACGGGTTTAGGGTTTCGGGTTTAGCGCTGGGGTTTGGGGGTTGAGGACTTAGGGTTGTTGAGGGCTTAGGGCTTAGGGGCCCAGGGAAGAGGACTGAAGGGCTTTGCCTTCCCTTCAGGGTGCTTGAGTAAACTCCTGTCAAGGAGCCCTAAAACCTTGAACCCTAAACAACTCTAAACTCTAAACCCTAACCTTAAGCCCCAAGACCCTGAACCTTAAGCCCCAAACCCTGGACCCCAGACCCTTAGTGCCTAAGCCCTGAAGCGCAATGCGCTGACCCAAACCCTAAACCCTAAACCCTAAACCCTGAACCCTGAACCCTAAACCCTAAACCCTAAACCCTAAACCCTAAGCCGAACCCCCCGAAACCCAGACGGCCAAGCAACGTCCGGTTGCGGGACCCACCCCTTTCCCTCGCGCTTCTCCTCAGCTTGGCAAAGGGTTTCGGGTTTAGGGCTTAGGGTTTAGGGTTTAGGGTTTAGGGTTTAGGCTTTAGGCTTTAGGGTTTAGGGCTTAGGGTTTAGGATTTAGGATTTAGGGTTTAGAGCTAGGGTTTAGAAAGTTTGGCGAGTTTGGGGGGCTTCGGGGGCTTAGGGCCGGATGGGGATGAGGGGGTTTAGGGCATAGGGTTTCAGGATACCGCTTCAGTGTCGAGCTCTCTTGCTTGCCGGAAGCTCTTCAGCCTTAGGCTTGAAGCCCCTAAACCCCGAAACTGGTCTAACCCTAAGCCTCTAGCCTCCTAAAACCACCCAAAAGCTGACCCTAACCCCTCCGAAGCCCCTGAACCCCTGAACCTCGAACCCCCTCAGCCCTAAACCCCTAAAACGCTCAAAGCCCTCGAAACCCTCGAAACCCTTGAAACCCCTAAAACCCCGAAACCCTTTAAAACCCCTAAACCCCCCAAACCCTTAAAACCCCTAAAGCCCCTAAACCCTTAAAACCCCCAAAGCCCTAAACCCTTAAAACCCCTATAAAGCCCTAAACCCCTGAACCCCGTAAAACCCTCAAAACCCCCTAAAGCCCAAAGAGAAGTCTCCCAGGCTGACGCGTCGAACTGAAAGGATGCCAGCTTCTGACTTCGAAGCCAGCACCTGGGAGGGGGAGGGTTTAGGGCTTAGGGCTTAGGGCCTAGGGCTTAGGGCCTAGGGCTTAGGGCTTAGCGTTTAGGGCTTAGGGCTTAGGGCTTAGGGCTGAGGGCTTAGGGCTTAGGGCTTAGGGCTTAGGGCTTAGGGCTTAGGGCTTAGGGCTTAGGGCTTAGGGCTTAGGGCTTAGGGCTGAACCCCTTAGGGCTTAGGGCTGAGGGCTTACGGTTTAGCTTAGGCGGTGGACTATAGGGGCGCAGAGGGACTTTTTGTGGTTTGGGGGGGGGGGGGTATGCGGCTTAGGGTTGAGGGTTTTGACGAGGGTAAGCGGTTTAGGGCTGAGGGCTTAGTCAGGGGTAGTGTTTTGGTCTCAGGGCTTTGAAGACGTGAGTCAGCCCCGCCCCTGTTACACCCACTCACCCGCACATGAAGCCTCAGCCCTCTAAACCCAACCACTTTGCCGCGCGGCTTGGAACCTGTCGGGTCGCTAGTGATGCGCCACCTGCGGTCAGGGCTGAGCGTTCAACACTGTCAAGAATGGGGTTGCGGGGTTTGGGCTCCCTGCGGCTGAGGGTTTGGGATTTAGGGCTCAGGCTTGAGGATATGGGCTGTCGGGCGTTAGAGTCCCTTCTTGGTGAAAACAGCAACCGTAACTTGGCCAGCACGACCTTGCAACCATCTCAAAGGGTCCTTACTTTACGACCACGGTTCTATAATTAAGCCATGCAAAAAATATGAAGATAGGCTCCTGTTGCCCACTTAGGGGGTTAGGAATTAGGCTGCTCTTTCTGCGCTTGAAGTTGATGGGTGGGGCTGTTGGGTCCAGGAAGTGCAGGGTTTGGGGTTTAGGGTTTAGGGTTTGGGGATTAGGGTTTGGGGTTTGGGGTTTGGGGTTTAAGGTTAAACCGGGGTTGGGGGGGAGGAAGTTGTGGGGTTTGGAATTGAGTTCGGCATAGAGGGCCAAGGGCTTTGGGGAGCAATCTGTGAGGAACGAGGTAGAAGAACACACTTCAAGCCTTTGCATTTTAGGGTTTAGGGTTGGGGGGCGTTAGCGCTTTAAGGTTTAGGGTAATAACGAGCAGCTCCCAACATCAAGGACAAAGCTAATTGGCTTAAAGTCAAGAATGCATCTAAACATCACGAAAGCCTAAGCCCTCTTCAACCTCCCTAAGACCCGAAGCCCTGTTTGAACCCGGAAGCTCAACTTCCTGGCCTCTTCTCAGTAAAGATGGCCAGGGAGTTGGACCAGCCGCTCTCATCAAGCTTTCGGAGCATCTGAGTTCAGAGAGGAGTTCCGGGGTCCTAAAGTACAAGGGTTTTGCGTCTTGGGTAAGGCTTAGGGTTCGGGGTTTAGAGTTTGGGGTTTGGGGTCTGGGGAGTCCTATACCCCCCCCGCCCCCCAGTAGTCCTTGCCCAAAACAAGGCCCAACTTTTGAGCCTCATGGGGGCAGGCGGGTGCCAGCACAGGAACCCACAATGCTTTCCAGAACGGGCGTGGCGGGGGAAAGGGGTGTCAAGGTTTAGAGCTCAGCTTGATTTAGGGTTTAGGGTTTAAGGCGTTTGGGGGCTTTTAGGTTTAAGGCCCTTGGTTTGGGGCGGAAGGGGGTCGGGCAGGTGAGGGTTCACCCAGAAAGCCCAACACCCCTGAAACTGGGGAGTCTACTTGGAGGTTCATGGTACTTAAATTTCCAATTATACTTGTACTTATAAACCAACTAGAAGCCCCTTAAGTCCCCTAATATGGCTATAAGTACAGTTATAAGTACAGTTATAGTTAGTTAATAAGTACTATGAACCTTCAAGTATCGAATGCAAGGCCACAGAGGGCTCCCTGGATGCCCTTTATGTAAGCTTCGGGGAGGCACGGGAAGTTTAGGACTTAGGGGTTTAGGTTTAGGTTTAGGGTTTAGGGTTTAGGGTTTAGGGTTTAGGGTTTAGGGTTTAGGGTTTAGGGTTTAGGGTTTAGGGTTTAGGGTTTAGGGTTTAGGGTTTAGGGTTTAGGGTTTAGGGTTTAGGGTTTAGGGTGCTTCAGGGAGGCACAGGAAGTTTAGGACTTAGGGGTTGAGGGCTTCTCCAAGCAGAGTCTCGGTGATGTTTTGGGGCGGTTGAGGCTATGTTGAGGTCTCATAGATGCGCACGAACGCCAATCTCCCTTGTTGGCCCATTTTGAACCTCCGAAAATACGCCTAGGGTTTAGGGTTTAGGGTTTAGGGTTTAGGGTTTACTCCAGATTGGATGCTTAAACCCAACTAAGGGAAGCTGTCATGAACATATCCCGAAGCTAACCGAGCCAAGGCCAGGCACCGGCAAGTCGGAGACAATCTCCACATACTGGCCGCTGTGCTTGCCCGCGCCAGTGACGCAAAGCACCCTGCAGCAGATTGCCGCGGGCTTCGGGCATGTAGGATTTCGGGCCTTCTGCAATTGCACTGCCATCCTCGCAAGACAGTTGCCTCATTGCACCTTTCAACCATCCCCAGCTTTTCCTAGAACCAGTTTTCTATGATGACGAAATAGGATAGCTAAACGTTCGTTCATGCAGGACGTAGATGGCCGAGTCAGGGTTCAGACAACACTAAACGCGAAGGTGAGGAGCCCGCTCAGATTCTGTATTGCTGTCCTTTCGTTGTTCTTTCTATGCTGCTCTGGTGCTCTTGTTTTGTTTTCTCTCTCGCACACTCTCTCTCTCTCTCTCTCTTGTCTTCCTCTTCCTGCGGGAGTCCCCCGTGCACGTGCACTCCCTGCCTCTGGGCATCGGGCTTCCGCGCCGGCACCCAGAGCCCCTCGGGAGCCACGACCATGGGCTCGGTGGTTCCGAAGGGAAGTGTTTCTAGGGTATGGGCTAGGGGTTTGGGCTTTTGGGCTCAGGTTCGGGGATTTCTAGAGATTCTAGGGGTTAGAAGTTCAGGGGCGAGGCTTGGGGATCTGGGCTGGGCCCAGGGGGCCTTTTTTGAGCGTAGGGCTATACTTTTACTCTCCGAGATTTGTGGAGTGCGTGACACGGTGACAACAGCTTAAAGTTCCGTGCTGTGAGTGGAGTTGCCATGTGTGTCGGGTGCTTCCATCTGCTGGAGCTCCAAGACTGTTGGTACAGGGCTGCCCGAACTCGTGCCCATTTGTAAAGCTAACAGCTGCGCGACCACAGGCATAGACTCGAAGGTTCAAATGTTGTTTTCGCTAAGGGGCTAAGAAATACATCCAAGGGCTTTGGGGAAGATTCGGAATACTAGAACTTCGGTGAGGGTCTAGAGTCTGGGGTCGAGGATCTCGGGTCTGAGCGCACGCATGCAAGATCAAGCTCTAGAGCAGGTGTGTTCTTGCTTCACGCGCGACCAGCGACTGCAAGAGGCCGGTTCACACAACCGTCGATGGTCTAACTTGCTCCGGAAGTCATGCATGAGCAGAACTTGGTTCACTAGCACATTCGCCATGTGTGAATGTTTGTATTGACAGACCTCGCATGGCTACGCACAGCACTCCGGCAAACGACGTAGGTCAAGAGAACGTGATCCGAAGGCCCAGTTTTCGGATGTTTTGACGTGGCCGGTCGCGAGCTCCATGCATTCCGCCAGAATTTCTGCTAGGCGCTGCAAATTCATGCAGTTCCGGGAACTGTATGCACTTGCCCCTACCAGCGAACAGATGCCATCCTGCAGCATCCTGCTTGTTCCAGCTGCCGCCGGATGCTGCACAATGCTACTCCCAGCTCGGTCTCATGGACGGGGCTACGAAACTCGAGGTCATGCCCCAGAGCACCTCCGCGCAATCCGACCGACAAGTAGGGGAGGCGACCGCTGCTCTGAAAGAAATCAATTCCGATTGGGCTGTAAACTGCAAGCCAGAGCTCGTCGAAAACGTTTGCGTCACGGACTCCATCCATCGCACACTTGATGTTGCTGAAGTGGCAACGCCATGCTCCTACCTTCCTCTGTGCTATTTTGGTATGTTTCAGCTCCACTCGCAGACCGTCCCTCACCCAGTCGTGCTGAAAGTTCGCCTGGGTTTTGTGGAAGGTGCTCCTTGGGTTCAATTTCTTGTCAATTTCAAAACCCATTTGTTCAATGCGCTGGCCTCGAAGTGCGGGAGTCATCTGCCTCAGTGGATCCCGATGGTAGGTTTCATCCTCCACTGCCAGACACGCGATAGGCTGCAAGCGCTGATCCGACCAAGGAATATCTTCTATCACCTCACACTGCCCTCTTCCCGCACACAGCTTCCGTAGAATGCTTGCCCAGGCGTGTCGCCAATCAGCCGCACCTGCCTGACCACGCACCACTATTGTATGCCCTCGGAAGGATGTTTTCTTGCCTGCCATGCAAACTCCGGTGCGAAGGTCGTGCTTCAGAATCTGCACTGAGTCCGGCGTGTCAACCACGAGGTACAAGTCATCAAAGACCGCTTGCGCTCGGATGCCTGATAAAGGAAACTTCGCACCTTCGAATTGCGCACTCCAAGTGTTTCTTGCTGGCGTCCAACTCAACCTGCAGCTTTTGCATTCAACTTTCCTGCCCCCTAGTGTCCAATCCCACAGTGCCTGCTGTGGTGCTCTGCGTTGGCCGTTTACACATCTGCCCGATACAGGCTCCTCCAGCTGCAAATCTGGATGAGCAGAAACCAGGACCGTCTTGCAGAGGTCCTGCAGCAGCATCCCGCGCTTGTGCGGGCTCAGGCCAGAGAGCGGATGCCCGGCATATAGCTCACACACCTTGCCGGTATTCGCAAAGATGTGGTTGAACTCCGCAGCTGGAAACCCCAGGTGTTGCAGTCGACGCCGACCCCCGAACCACAGACTCCGCCTTAAGGAAGACTCCAGTTCGCGCCCGAGTTGCCAACCCCGGTGCATGCCCAAGCGCATGCGGCCTCAGCTAGCCTCGGCCCTGCTTTAATGACCTTCTTTTCCGTAGGAGACCAAAGAAACCTTGTGAGAGGTTTTGTAGTAAGAGCAGTAGGTATGGGACTCTGATGGTCAGCCCTAATCCGCACGCAGCTCCGAGGAATATGTTGCATCGAGCTGCATGGCTACCGAGCGGTGGGCATGGTGTGCCCCACAATGACACCAGCCAGTCCCTGAATGCCTGGCAGGGAACCTGTTCTAAAGCACATCCGCACCCCCCGAAGTTTCCGAAGCCCGAAAGGGTTTTGGGGTTTGGGATTATAGGGTTTACGGTTAGGGTTTAAGGGCTTGGGGATTTACATGTACCGGCTGTTGGGCTTAAGGGTCAGAGTTTCTAGGGTTTGGGGTTCAAGGCTTCTGGGCTCCAGGCCGGTTTGGGGTTGAATTCTTTCATCCTACCTACAGCCCTATCTGCACTTGAGGTGGCTCCTTCATCTTGGGCTATAAGCGCTTGCCAGAGGAAGCCGTGGCTCATGCACAGCACAGGGCATTTGGTTTGAGGGTTCAGGGCTTAAGGCTCCACACTCCTTGCTCGATATACCATCAGGGGCACTTTTGAGTAGGCCACATCTCTAGGAACTGCGGAAGGCCGCGCTACACGCGAGGAAAAGCATGCTTCAGCGACGATGGACCTGATAGAAGAACTGACAACCATGTCTGCCGGCCTATACAAAGATTAGCATTGCACGTGGCCAAGCACAAGACCGCCGCCCCACAACTACCACGCTTTATCACAACTCAAAATGCCACTAGTCTCGGCTTGGAATGCGATGAAAGCCTTGATGTTTACAACCATGAGCTGTCCAACGATGGACTCGGAAGTCAAGCTTCATCAGGTCTGCTTGCATCCTACAAGCTTGTCTCTACCAGCGAACAGATGCTGTCAAGCAGCATCCCATCCGTTCCAGCTGCCACCGGATAGAACACAATGCTGCACGAAGCTCCGTCTCATGGGCATGGCTGCGAATATCGAGGTCGTTGCCAAAAGCCTCACGCACCCCAACACTTGTGTAGGGAAGATCCCCGTTGCTCTTGAAGAAATCGATCCCGAGTGGGCTGTAAACCGCAAGCCACAGCTCGTCGAAGGCCTTCGTTTCGCGAAGTCCGTCCACAGCGCATTTGATTTTGCTGAAGCAGACTCGCCATGACCCTGACTTCATCTGCACTGCTTTAGTGTGTTTCAGCTCCACCCGCACGTCATCCCTAAGCCAGTCAACTTGGGGGTCACCTCCAGCTTGCCGGAAGATAGAGCACCTCGGGTTAAGCTTCCGATCAATTTCACAGCCTATTTGTTCGATCCGCAGTGCTCGCAGGGAGGGGGTCATCCGGCTGAGCGGGATGCCTTGGTACATCTTGTCTTTCTCTTCCTGGGACAGGGCAGCTTGCAAAGACTGATCCGACTCAGGGATATCCGACACAGGGATTTCCGCTATCATCTCACACTGCCCCCTTCCCGCACACAACTTCCGCAAAATGGCTGTGCGGGCATCTCGCCAGTGAGCTGCACCTCTTCCCCCGCTTACACAAATCTTTTGTCCACGTACAGCCGTTTCGGAGCCGGCTGTAGAGACTCCGGTCCGCAGGTCATGCTTCAGAATGTGTATGACATCCGGCGTGTCCACAACAAGGTACAAGTCGTCAAATGGCACCAATGTCCGAACACCAGGCAATGGAAGCTTCACCGCACTGACGTTAATCGCCCAGACGTGATTGCTAGCCATCCAACCTAATCTGCAGCTTTTGCATTCAGCTTTCCTGCCCCCGAGTGTCCAATCCCACAGTGCCTGTTGTGCTGTTCTGCGTTGGCCATTTACGCATCGGCCTGATACAGGCTCCTCCAGCTGTAAGTGCGGATGCGCAGAAGCCAGGACAGTCTTGCAGAGGTTCTGCAGCAGCAGCCCGCGCTTGTGCGGGCTCAGGCCAGAGAGCGGATGCCCGGCGTACAGATCACACACTTTTCCCGCATCGTCGAGAATGTGTCTGAAGTCCGCAGCTGGGAACACCAGCTGTTGCAGCTCACGCCGACCGCCGAACCGCAGACTCCACCTTGAGGAGGGCAAGCGCCTGAAGCCTGAATAGACTCCGAGTTGCAAAGCCCGATGCATGCCCAAGCTTCAGAGCACCATCAACTAGCTGAATAGCCCTAAACCCTAAACCCTATACCACAAGGGGCTCTCAGAAGTGGTTGCATCGATCTGCGTGGCTCTGGAATGGAATGTACAGCATACCCCAGGATGACTCCAGCCTAAACCCTAAACTCTAAAGCCCTAAAACCCTAAAGCCCTCAAACCCTCAAACCCTCAGACCCTCAAACCCTCAAACCCTCAAACCCTAAAACCCTAAAACCCTAAAACCCTAAAACCCCAAAACCCTAAAACCCTAAAACCCTAAAACCCTAAAACCCTAAAACCCTAAAACCCTAAAACCCTAAAACCCTAAACCTAAAACCCTAAAACCCTAAACCCTAAAACCCTAAACCCTGAACCCCAGCAGGAAGCCTGTTCAAAAGTACCAGTCGGGGAGTTCCAACTGCTTAAAACTCTTCTTTGCAATTCCACTTCGTGCCAACGACGGCCCAAGAAGGCCCAGAACCTGCAAGCTGCCGAACGAAACTCCACAAAGCACCCTGCCCCCCCGGAAAAACAGAGGACACCGTTCAATGAGTGTAACACATATAACCACAATAACATAACAAAAGCAAAGAAAAACAAGAGCAGACCCGCGAGCCCAAACCCCCAGAGCTCCTTTTCGACACCTCCAGCTCGTTTCGTCCAGGCTGTCAAACTGAGTCAAACTGTAATTTTTGTGTTGGTGGGTCTTCGTCCCGGAGCCGCCAGGCAGCCAGCCCGAAGTGCCCGGAAGGGGTAGGTGCAAGAGATGGCCGGTCAAGCTCCGGCGGGGTGTGCTTCTTTGGTCAAAGCTTGGGGCGCAGGGTTCTTAGGATTTGGGGTTTAGGGTTCAGGGTTTAGGGTTTGGGACTTAGGGTTTATAGGATTATGGGGCTCAGGGTCTTGAGCCTCGGGGTACTTCTTTTCGTGGCAAGTGGGAATTAGGGTTGCTAAAGGATAGGGCGCAAGGCTTACGGTTCGGAATGAAGCCAAAAAGGGACAACCATGAGCTCATGTTGTTTAGTTGAGTCAGAGTCAGAGATCTCTGACACAATCTCGAGATTGTCCCCTATTCTAAGCCTTTAAGGATTGCAACGGCATGGTCCCATCATCCTGGAATCTCCCTAATGTCCTCTACGTACCCCTGCCCCAACCGCGGATTAAGGCCCCTTATGGTTTCGGGTTTAGGGTTTAGGGTGTATCCCCCTAGGAGGCCCCAACACAAAAGCACTCCTGTTTGATGGGGTTCTTAAGGGAGGGGGGTTCAAGGGGAGTAGGTACCTAGGGAGCCTTAGGGAAGATTAGGGAGCCTTACGGAGTAGTAGGGAGTATTAGGGAACTTTGGGTTACATACCCCCCTTGAACCCCCCTCCCTCAGGAACCTTATAACTTTGAAGTATCCCTTGGCTACGTGCGAAACACCTAGTGACACCCCAAAGCGTTGAGCCTACATCCGCCCCAACCTTTTCAAAAGTCGAGGATCCACACGCAAGATAAGAAAAAAACACTGGTTTAGGCTTTAAGGTTTAGGGATTAGGGATTAGGATTTTGGGGGTTTTAGTGTTTAGGGTTTAGGGTTTTAAGCGGAACCTAACCCCAAAAGACCAAGGGAAACACGGATAGCGCTGTGGGGGCGTCCGAGCGGAGCACCTCGTGGCTGGCTGCTGAGCATGCCGGGTCGCTCTTGGAACAGCAACCCCTCTTGCTTGAGGGCCCAAAGTGGGATGCCCCTAGGGCTTAGCGTTTAGAGCCCCTCAACCAGAGCTAAGCATGATATGCCCTAAACCCTAAACCCTAAACCCCCAAGGCCCTCTTCGCAGGGTTGCCAAGCCCACGATGAGAAAGACTTCAGTCTCTTCGGACAGAAGCCACCGAATTGCCAAGAAATCCGCACCCCCGGGGTCATGCGCAAAGGCCGACGGCTCGCAGCTAACTGTTCTAGGCCTTAAAAGTTAGAATGAAGAAAAGTGGTTTTGGGTGTGAATATAGTATAATTATAAAGGGACCCGAAGGCAATATATTTGCAGCTAGCTGGGTCGGTTGGGGATGGGGTTTCGGGTTTAGGCTTAGGCCCTAACCCCAAACCTCAAAAATTCTGGACCCCAAAACCCTTAGCCCTACACCCACCCTCACCACCCTCACCACCCTCACCACCCTCACCACCCTCAACACCATCACTACCATCACCACCCCACCACCACCACCACCACCACTACCATTATCATCATCATCATCATCATCATCATCATCATCATCATCATCATCATCATCATCATCATCATCATCATAGTCCCTAAACTTGAACTCCCAAGCTAGCTCAGAGCTCCTGTTGTCCAAAGCCTCGAAGCCCACGAAGTCACACGATTCCTCGAATTGTTAACCTTAACTGCTCCAGGCTGAACGGGTTGAAGGATTTAGGGGCCCGAAGGGTTCACAGTTTCCGGTAGGGTTCGTGAAGTTTAGAGGCTTTAGCCCTTAAGGCCCTTGGGGCGTTGTAGAGCTTTTGCGGGTTCTAGGGTTTAGGTGGGTTTAGGGGACTTTAGCGACTTTAGCCAACAGCTTCGGGTTTACGTTTTAGGGCTTAGGGTTTAGGGTTTAGGGATTAGGGTTTAGTGTTCAGGGTTCAGGGTTTCGGGTTTCGGGTTTAGGGTTTAGGGTTTAGGGTTTAGGGTTTAGGGTTTAGAGGCGCAGGCCCCTTCGGCTTAGGCTTTACAGCTCCGGCGCTTGCCCAGGGGTAGCTGTGGCTTTGAGTGTCGCAGCGCCATGGTGCCCAGGAGCCACCAAAAGCCTGGAGTTGATGCCCTGAGGTTGTTGTATTCAGGGGTGGTTTAGAGGGTTTAGAGGGTTTAGAGGGTTTAGAGGGTTTAGAGGGTTTAGAGGGTTTAGAGGGTTTAGAGGGTTTAGAGGGTTTAGAGGGTTTAGAGGGTTTAGAGGGTTTAGAGGGTTTAGAGGGTTTAGAGGGTTTGGAGGGTTTAGGGTTTAGGGTATAGGGAGGGTATAGGGTGTGGGCTTTAGGGCTTAGGGCTTAGGGCTCAAGATAGCAGAGTCGGATGAGAAGGGATGAGGGGATGAGGGGGGGGGGGGGGGGGGGGAGATGAGGGGAAGTAGTGTTGCCTAAACCGTGTTTGGGCTACTGCCGTGACCAGCGGCCGTCAGTCGGGCTTGCCGAGGCACCAGGCGCTGACTGGTAGCCAGAAGCTAGCGACACGCCGAGCGCAAGGCTAGGGGAGATCATCAACCCTAGATTCCCCTAGATCCTGACATCCGAAACCCCGGAGTTTCTGAAAACCCTGAAAATCACAAAGCCCAAGTGAAAACCCCAAAGAAGGCCAAGCAAACCCAAGAAACCTAACACTAAGAACTAGCAGGCTAACCCCTAAACCCCCAAGGTGGTGCCCTTGGGTTTGGGGACCCCATTAAAGATTCCTAAGGTGATGTACGGGCCATACTAGGAGTGTGTTAAGGGACAGTTTGAGTGGTACAACCGTAGGGGTGCGAGTCTTAGTCACTGCTAAAACCCTGAACCCTACAGTTACACCCCAAGTCAAAACCACCTGAACGCTAAACCCTAAGCCCTAAACCCTTAACCCTAAACCCTAAACTTTAAGTCAAAACCACCTTGCTCTATCCGGCTGGCCGCGTGGCGTTGAGATAACTGGCGCACTGGGCGACCCACAGTGGCGGGAATACCGGACCGAAGCTGAGCAAAAGAAGCCCTCAGAAGCTGCTAAACCCTAAACCCTAAACCCTAAACCAGCTGGTTTTGGCTTGAGGCTTGAGGGCCTAGGCTTTCGAGGGTTTAGGGCTTTCAGGTTTGGTGCTTTGGGCTTTTGGGGCTTAGGGCGGTTTATTCGGGGGAGGCGTGCTTCTGGAACCCTGCACCCTAAACAATAAACCCAAAACCCTACCCCAAGCCCTAAACCCGAAACCCTAAACCCTAAACCCTAAACAATAAACCCTAAACCCTAAACCCCAAACCCTAAACCCTAAACTTATGATGCCCATATGCTGTGAATCTGAATGTCCGCCCAATGCAGGGGGCCCCCAGTCCCGGCTTTTGTTCAGAAAAAGCCTGAATTTGTTGAGCTGATCGTCAAGCATCCCTCCTGCGGGAGACTCTAAGGCAACAAGAAACATCCTAGACCCTAAACCCTAAACCCTAAACCCTAAACCCTAAACACGTTTGGGAAACTCTAAGGCCACAAGGAAAGCACTCTTGAGACGCTAAATAGGTCTATACTCCCCTTTGAACCTTAGTATAATAATATGTTTAATATCCTCTTGGGGTTTATATGAACCAAACAATAATTCCCAAGGGGGATATAGAGGTGGGCAACATCTAGACCAACCGGTTTTGGGGGTTTGGGGTTTGGGGTTTCGGGTTTCGGGATTAGGCTTTAGATTGTTTAAGCGTTGAGGTTAAAGCGTTTTGGGTATAGGCATTGTTTCAACTTAGGTTTACCGGGTCCCCTGTAACTGTGGATACCAAAAGGCTAATACACCTCATTAAGGAACAGCGATCCTTTGCGGGAATACAGCCTTAGCAAGCCTCAAAAAGGTTTCGGATTTGCGGGTTGAGGCTGAGTGCCAGCCAAATGAGTGCCCCAACTGGCCCAGATATCCGATCGTAATGTCCTTTTATTCCTGGTATTCGGGGGTGCTTGAGCGAGAGTTGCCAGAGTTGTCTTGCGCAACTGGCAAAAACCGAAGTGAAACGTTCACTGCCTTCGGGGGCCCAAGAGCCCCAGCAGCAGAGCAAAAATCCGAGGTCCAAGAGGCTCCGGCTGCGTATGGGAAGCCATGGAAGAGCCCACCCGCCGTTCACACCCCCCATTCCTTTTATGTGACCCACCTCAACTTGACTGAGGGTCTGAATACCCTAGCCCCAAAAAGGTTAAGCTGTTATGTGATATAGGAGTATTATAATTATATATATAGTTCTATATCACGTAATATATATATATATATAACCAAAAGGTTAAGTGTTAACTACCCAG